TATTTTCCACCATAATTTGCAAATAAATACTTTCCAAATCAGCCAATGTGATTGTCTGGATTTTTTTTCTCATTTTGTCTCTCATAGTTGAGGTCTACCTATGATGCCAATTACAGGCCTCTCTCATCTTTTTAAGTGGGGAGAATCGTGCACAATTGGTGGCTGACTAAAATACTTTTTTTGGCCCTACTGTATACAGTATACACAGACTACTTCAAAATCCCTTTTCTTACAATACTAACAGACCAAGTACAGTAGAGAAAATAAAGTATTTTCTCCCACCAGGAGCAATGACAATTTCTAATATTAATGGATCATTAACCGCTTTCCCTCCGTCCTTCAGCAGAAGTACTGCTACAGGGGCCTGCGCAAAATCACGTATTTAACACGGGGTTTGCTTTCTGGGTAGGGGGGGATGTGCCATGCCCTAACCCCCAACGCATTGGCGGCTAGAGGTGTCAATATGGGTTCTAGTTGGGGTTCCCCACCCACCCAACCTGGTAGTAAACAAAACAGATTCCCCATCAGCACCTGTACACTTTCTTTGTATGGGCCGATAGCAAAGCCTACAAAACAATGTGCTTACAGTGAAACACACACATGGTGGAAACCGCACGTTAACCTTTGATGCCCCCAGTTAACACCTTCCTGTCATGCCATTAGTACGTGTCCGTGTGTTTATTAGCACGCACTGTATTAGTGTCGGGCATTAGCCCCCCAGTGTCAGAATTTACGCAGTCCCACTATAAGTCACTAATAGCCGCAATTACAGTTTAAATGAAAATAAAAAATATATCACCCCCTTTTTAAACGCTTTAAATTTCACCCTAAACCATTAATTTTTCACGATGGGATTTTTTTTTGTTAGCAAAAAACAGTATCAGAAAACATTTTGGCCTAAATTTTTGAAGAAAAATTTTATTTTTTTATTGGATAGGTTTTTATAGCAAAAAGTCAAAAATATTTTTTTTCTTTCACAATTATTGTTTTTTTTTTTTCAAGCACAAAAAAAATTTAAAAACACAGAGGGTTATCAACTACCACTGAAAAAAGCTCTTTTGTGGGGGAAAAAAAAGGACATAAATTTCATTTTGGTGCAGCGTTAAAAAATAAAAAAGTTAAAGTAACCCCAGTGCAGTATTGCAAAAAATGGCCTGGGCAAGAGGGGGGTAAATCTTCGGAGGATAATTTGGGTTTAAAAAAATTTACTCGAACAGACCACAATGTAAAAAATGGAAGCTTTAGAACATGGAAACCCCTTTTAAAATAAGGGGCTTTCATACATTTATGACTGTGCTTGTGCATCAATTGAGCATCTGGGAAATTAAAAGAAGACGACATTTACAGTATACCCTTTTGTTTTTTCCCCA